CAGGCACCCCTGCGATGAATCGATAGGGGGCGGCGGATCGAAGACGCCTACGGCGAATCACCGCTGCCCCCTGCCGTTGTGAAAGCGCCTACATCGCCGTGACGAAAGTTTCTTTCAACTTGCCTTTGGAATGACGCGTTCGTGCGGAGTAGTTCGGAGTAGTTTTACTAAAACTACTCCGCGCGCAATCGCATCCCGCTCGGTTATTTATATGGTTTGGCGCGGAGTAGTTTTCGATCCCGTTTTGGGGTAACAGAGTTATTAACGTCCCCGGGATCGGAAATTACTCCGCCGAATGACCCAACATCATGTCATGTTAGGACTCTTGAGAGGGATGGGAGAGATCTTCATCATAGCAAATTGAAGAAATGTTTGTCACGGCTGTGTATGTGGCCGAACGTTGAGGCCAGACCTGCCAAGCCATCGGACCGTGTGTTCCCCGAATCGGTTTGGAAAGCCTTCGGGGAACACGTGGGCATCTTGAAGGTCATCTTGGCCGTCTGGAGGCCATTTTGACCCTTTCGGGCCTTCTTGGAGGACGTCTTGAAGGGCTCTTGGACCGTCTTGGAGGCCATTTTGAGCGTCTTGGAGACCTCTTGGGCCGTCTTGGGGGCCTCTTGGGGCCATGTCTTGGGCCTCTTGGGCGATCTTTAGGGACACTTGGGCCGTCTCGGGACGTCGGAAGGCAGAAACAAAGCAAATGCCACAATCCTTCAAAAACCCTTGGGAAATCCATGAGTTTGGCCTTTTCGGGCCTTCCTGGAGGCCCTCTTGGAGGCATCTTGGGCCGTCTTGGGCCATCTTAGGGCCATGTTCGGCCGTCTTGGTGGGCTCCTGATCCGTCTGACGCCGTCGGAAGCCGTTTGGGGGGGCCTCTATGGGCCACCTTGTGGCCCTCTTGGAATGCTCCAGGGCCGTCTTGGAGGCCATCTTGGGTGTCTTAACGGCCTCCTGTGCCGTCTTGGGGGCCTCTTGGGGCTGTCTTGGGGCCCTCTTGGGCCGTTCTGGGGCCATCTTGGAGGCCTCTTGGGCGATCTTTCGGCGATCTTTGGGGGCTCTTGGGCCGTCTCGGGCCGTTGGAAGGCCGAAAAGAAGGACATGTCAAATCCGTAGAAACAAACCTTAGGAAAATCAATGTTTTTGGCCTGTTCTGGCCCCCTCTTGGGGGCCTCTCGGGCCGTCTTGGGCCAGCTTCGAGCCAACTTCGGCCATCTTGGTGGGTTCCTGGCACGTCTGACGCCGTCGGGAGCCGTCTTGGGGGCCTTTCTGGGCCGACTGGGGGCCCTCTTGGGGCGCTTCGGGGCCGTCTTGGAGGCCATCTTGGGCGTCTTGGAGGCCATCGTGGGCGTCTTGGAGGCCTCTTGGGCCGTCTTCGGACCCTCTTGGGGCCGTCGTGGGAGCCTCTTGGGCCGTCATGGGGCCATCTTGGAGGCCTCTTGGGCAATCTTGGGGCGATCTTGGGGGCCCTTTGGGCCGTCTTGAGCCGTCGGAATGCCGAGAAGAAGCAAATTCCAAAATCCTTCAAAAGCCTAATGAACATCAATGATTTTGGCCTCTTCGGGCCTTCCTGGAGGACCTCTTGGAAGCCTCTTGGGCCGTCTTGGAGGCCTCTTGCGGGCCTCTTGGGCCGTCTTGGGCCGTCTTGGACTCTCGTGGGCCGTCTTGGAGGCCGTCTTGGACCATCTTGGGCGGACTTGGAGGCCATCTTGGGCCATCTTCGCGATTTTTCGAGGACGTCCCGAGCGAAACGGCCGTTTCTGGCATTGACTTGTGCAGTTTCCGGGTGGCCGGCGGGACGGGCCGAAGCCCCAGGGGGAGTTCTTTTGGAAAAAGATCCGCCGCCCCCCTGTCGATTCATCGCAGGGGTGCCTGGCGTGCTGGATCCTTTCGGTTTTGGTTTAGGTTCTTTTTCCATGGCGCGTCGGCCCGTCCCGCCGGGGTCCCGGGAGGATTGCCCAGGAGCGCAAATTCCACGAACAATCCTCCCTGAAACGGCCGTTTCGCTCGGGACATCCTCAACAATTCGCGAAGATGGCCCAAGATGGCCTCCAAGTCCGCCCAAGATGGTCCAAGACGGCCTCCAAGACGGCCCACGAGAGTCCAAGACGGCCCAAGACGGCCCAAGAGGCCCGCAAGAGGCTTCCCAGACGGCCCAAGAGGCCTCCAAGAGGTCCTCCAGGAAGGCCCGAAGAGGCCACAATCATTGATGTTCATTAGGTTTTTGAAGGATTTTAGAATTTGCTTCTTCTCGGCATTCCCACGGCTCAAGACGGCCCAAGAGGCCCCCAAGATCGCCCAAGAGGCCCCCAAGAGGGCCCCATGACGGCCCAAGTTGCCTCCAAGATGGCCCCAAGAGGGCCCCAAGACGGCCCAAGAGGCCTCCAACACGCCCAAGATGGCCTCCAAGACGCCCAAGATGGCCTCCAAGACAGCCCCGAAGCGCCCCAAGAGGGCCCCCCGTTGGCCCAGAAAGGCCCCCAAGACGGCTCCCGACGGCGTCAGACGTGCCAGGAACCCATCAAGATGGCCGAAGTTGGCTCGAAGCTGGCCCAAGACGGCCCAAGAGGCCCCCAAGAGGGGGCCAGAAGAGGCCAAAAACATTGATTGTCCTAAGATTTTTGATGGATTTTGACATGTCCTTCTTTTCGGCCTTCCGACGGCCCGAGACGGCCCAAGAGCCCCCAAAGATCGCCGAAAGATCGCCCAAGAGGCCTCCAAGGCGGCCAAGATGACCTTCAAGATGCCCACGTGTTCCCCGAATGCTTTTCAAACCGACTCGGGGAACACATGGTCCGATGGCTTGGCAGGTCTGGCCTCAACGTTCGGCCACATAGGCGCTTCCAAATAGGCAGGGGGCGGCGATGGTTCGCCGTAGGCGTCTTCGATCCAAAACCAAAACCGAGAGGGTCCAGCACGCCAGGCACCCCTGCGATGAATCGACAGGGGGCGGCGGATCTCATGTCATTCGGCCCATCCTGCCACCGTGCCTGGGTTGTGGATATGAATCCTATTGTATGCTCGTTGGGATTTCGAAGGAGGCCTCTCGGGGGCCTCTTGGAGGGTGTGGAGCCCTCTTTGGGGGCCGTTTTGGGGCATCTTGGGCGCCGTTTTGTGGCCTCTTCGGATTCCTTTGTTGGGGCCTGTTGGGGCCTCTTGGGGGCCTCTTGGGGGCCTCCTGGGCGCCTCTTGGGTGTCTCTTAGGGCCTTCTGGGCGCCTCTTGGGGCCTTCTTGTGGCCTCTTGGGGCGGAGGGCTCGGATTTTCGGTTCGTCTTCCCTCTCTTGGGCCTCTATTGGGGTGGTCTTGGAGCCCTCTTGGGTCGTTTTGGGCGCCTCTTGGGCCGTCTTGGGGCCCTTGGGCAGTCCTGGGGCGGTCTTGGGTGCCTCAGTGCCGCCTGGGAGCGTCGGGAAGCCGAAAAGGCGAGAAAGCCAAGCCTTCAACAACCTAGAGAAAATCAATGATTCTGGAATCTTGGGGCGTCTTGGGGGGCCTCTTCGATGCCTCTTGGGGCGTCCTGTGGGCCTCTTGGGCCGTCTGGGGGGCATCTTGGGCGCCTTGGAGCGATCGCTCGGCGACTCGGGGCCCTCTTGGACCGTCTTCGAGGCCTCTTCGGGCCCTCTGGGGCCCGTCTTGGGGCCCGAACAGGCCCGAACAGGTTCAAGATGCGGGGGAGCTTGGGGAATACGCCGGAAAGCCCAGTTGTACTTCGGCAAGCCCCGCCACATTCATTTGAGAATTTGGGGTCTGGGCCCCTAATTGACTCCTCAGAACTTGAGGGCTGAGGCTCAGGGGATTGGACGAAGGACCCGAGGACACGCCCACTCCGTGCCCAGCGGCACGGTGGCGGGGCCTGCTCACCCTTGCACCTATTGTGCTCCTGCCCGCCGTGCTTTCCTCCGATGCCCTTCTCCCTCCTCTCCCCCCCCTTCGTTCCTATTCCGTCTGGGCCTGACCTGGTCCACTTCATGCGTCGTTCTTCCCTCCCGCAGGGCGTACTGTCAGGGCTTCCCGCTGCAGCAGGCAAGAAGAGAAACAGCCGGGTCAGAATGTCGGAACGAGCAGCGGGCAGTTTGCGTGTCCGCATGTGGCGCCTTAGCTGCGCCCGTCTCATAGAGATGGGTGCCAGGCTCGGGGGTTGGGCAGTTGGTCGGGAGATGGGTGGAGTGGCCCGTAACCTACCATGGAGCTTTGTGTTCACCCGCCCTGGGCTGGTCGTATTCGTACAGTCCAGTTGCGCGTGCCATTCGATCCGGCAGGGTTGGTTGTGGTCTTCCTGGCCGAGGAACCTGAAATATCGGTGAAGGCTTCAGGGGACCCTGAGACGTAATTCTCACAGTTCCTTGATCTTTTGTCGGGCAGACATAGTCTTTTGCATTGTTCAGTCTTCAGTCTTCCTAGAGGCTCGAGGAGGCGAATCGGGCCAGTTACGCCCTAGAGCGCCTCGATCCTTGACCATCCCTCGATTCTCCCCTTCCTGCCTCTCTCCACCTACCCTTGCCTCCTCCCTCCCCTCCTCCCTCTGTTCTCCTTGCCTTGCGCATGCGCTGAGCAGATGCTTGGGTTGTGTCGTCCTCGTACTTCCTCAACTTCTTTTCCCGCCCCTCCGCCTCTTTCTCATCCTTCGCCTCCTCCTCCTCATTCTCCCTTCACTCTTCTCCTCCCCTCCCGTATCCGTCTCCTTTTTCTATCTTGCTCCTTGCCCCAAAGCCTCTCTTTTCTTCTGCTCCCTATCCCCTTCCTCTTTCGCTCCCTCCTCCAATAGGTTGCTGTTTGTCCACCTCTCTGTCCTCCTCTTCCTCGTCGTCATCATTGCTCAGCTCTCTCTCTCTCTCTTTCTTTTTCTCTGTCTTTCTTTCTCTCTCTCTCTCACTCTCTCATGATATTTCGCCCCCTTGCACCGTGGTTGTTCTGCCCTCAGCGTGCCACTGCAACCTTTCGCATACTCCTTCTATTCGCCGCCGCCCTGTGGTCCCACTGACGCTTATCACAACTCTGCTCGAGCTCCCCTGCGCGCCTGCAAGGAGGCTCAACGCGTGGAAGAGGCCATCGACATCTCCAGCCTGAGGTCCGACCTCGCGTACACGTTCGCCGTCGAGGCCGCCATGTACGGCGACGGTCTCTCGAACTGTTCAAGCCGCCTCGGTTGCCTGCAGTGGCTTCCAGCAGCGTCTGCTGGTGCTGCAAGCCCGCTTGCATGATCCATTGCCGCCCTGCGCTTCCCAGCTTCAGCGTGCAAGCCGTCGTGCGTGCCCGCGCGGACTGGCCGGGTGGCGGTGGAGCTGAAGGTGTTACCACGCCTCACCGCCGTGACATTCGCGTAGTGGTGGTGAGTGCTGGCACCGCATATTGGCCCGTGCGCGGTTGTCCACGGCAGGTTCGTGTCGTATCGACGCCTCGGCCACCCCCGCGCAGGCGTTCAAGGTTGAATGCCGCCAGTGGCTCAGAATCGGCTGGCGTGGACCGATCTGTAACCATTGTGCAGCCCCGATTGTTCAAGATTGAACGGCCCACGCGGTGCAGAAACCAGCGCAGAAGTCGTCACGACACGAATTTGCCGAATGCCGCATGCTTGGGGGTCTCTTTGGGAGCCTTGTCGTACCTGCCCCCCGCGCCGAGATCTGGGTGCCAGGCGCGCTACCCTTACGTCGGGACCCGCGAGTTCAACCGCGTGCTCTCCACGCACACCCGCTTCTGCTTCCCGGTGGCGCTGGCCTCGATTTGCTTGTCGCCGGCCCCGATCGAATGCTGGGCCCCGATCGAGTGCCAGAAATCCTCGATAGCCGCGAGGATAAAATCCCCCTTTCTCTGTGGGTCTTCAGGGCGAGAGGAGAGGGGGAGAGAGAAGAAGGGGGAGAGGACGGAATTGGGAGGGGGGGAGAAGGGGGGGTAGGAGGGGGAGGAGGGGGAAGAGGAGGAGGAGGAGGAGGAGGAGGAGGAGGAGGAGGAGGGAAGAGGAGGAGGAGGAGGAGGAAGAGGAGAAGGAGGAGGAGGAAGAGGAGAAGGAGGAGAGGAAGAAGAGGAGGAGAAGGAGGAGGAGGAGGAGGGGGGGAGGAGGAGAAGGAGGTGGAGGACCAGGAGAGGGAAGTGGAGAGGAAGGAGGAGGAGGAGGTAGATGATGATGATGTTGATGATGATGATGATGATGATGATGATGATGATGATGATGATGACGACGACGAGACGACGACGACGACGACGACGACGACGACGACGACGACGACGACGACGACGACGACGACGGACGATGATGATGATGATGATGATGATGATGATGTGATGATGATGATGATGATGGTGGTGGTGGTGATGATGATGATGATGATGATGATGATGAGGAGGAGGAGGAGGAGGAGGAGGAGGAGGAGGAGGAGGAGGAGGAGGATGGGGATAAGGAGGAGGACGCAGACGGAGCGACAGTGGCCGCGCTGGGGGCGGCGGGACGGCGACTGAACGACACAGAGTTCTGCTTGACATCACGCGCGCTGTTTGTCCAAGACCTGGCGCCACCCAGCAATCTCTGTGCTAACCACACCCGCACGGGCCCGCGCGCAGTCTGGGCTTGCGGGGAAAGCCGCTGCTGCAAAGCCCACCACTGTTTTCGGTGTTCCTGCGGCGGCGGCGGCGTAAAATCGCGCAGCAGGGACGTCGAGGACCTGCGGCAACGCATTCACGACGGGTGCGGCCATCGCGAGAAGCAGGTCCCTGTCTCCAGCTGGGACCGGTGAGCGTGGCGCTGCCAGAGCTGCGACGCTCGGAGCGCGCGTCACCGGCAACCCGCCGGCCCCTGCGGCGGTTGCGGCCAGCCTGTTGTCTCCCGCAGAGAAGAGACCATCGTTGATGTTCAGAGGCATGGCGTATCGGCTCTCCGCGACTGTCCGTGTATGCAACAGTGCGGCACGCCGTGTCAGGCAGCCCGACGCGCTGCCCGCCGTGACAGCCACAGCAAGGTCCGAAGCAGGAGGGCGGCACGGCAAGGCCTCCTTCCGCCACCACCGCGACCAGGCCCACCAGGGCCGAAGCGGTCTGCTTGTGTCAACGGTGGGGGCGGAACTGGAAGCTTTCTCCGAAGGGCTTATTAGGCGACCCGTCCTCCTCCTCCTCCTCCTCCTTCTCCTCCTCCTCCTCCTCCTCCCTCCTCCTCCTCCTCCTCCTACTCCTCCTCCTCTCTCCTCCTCCTCCTCCTCCTCCCTCCTCCTCCTCCCTCCTCCTCCTCCTCCTCCTCCTCCTCTTCCTCCTCTTCCTCCTCCTCCTCCATTTCCTCCTCCCCCCTCCCCTTCCTCCTCCCCTTCCTCCTCCTCCTCCTCCTCCTCCTCCTCCTCCTCCTCCTCGTCCTCCTCGTCCTCCTCCTCCTCCTCCTCCTCCTCCCCCTCCTCCTCGTCCTCCTCACCCGTTCTGGCACAGACGTGGCGCCCGTGCTTGCAGCAGCATGCCCCTTCAGAACGGCCAGGTGCTGTTGCGGGCCATTGTGGTTTTTGCTTTCGGTGAGCTCCTGTTGGAGCAAGAATACGAGCCCTCCGGGGCATTCCTTAAGGCCAATGGCGGCGTCGGGGGTTTTGTTGGACCAAGGATGCCAACATGGGTTTGTACATGCGGACGTAACACGAACTGGATTTCCAGAGTTGTATGCAAGTGTGGAAATGCCGCTCCTCATGAAGTACGACGTGCAGAAGAGCAGAACGCGCTTGTGGATCTCAGCATCGGCAGCCTCGTGGGCCTGCTCCTGGGAGTAAGCGTGAACATCAGTTGGCACAGCGTCTTGAGGAGCTACAGCGTACATATGACAAGCTGATTTCTGGTGGTGCTTGTGGCGATGCTGGCAAGCCTACTGCTGACCTCAAAGACCAGAAGAGAACGACCGGTGAGACAGCATCAAGCAGCTTGAGGTGGCCATCGGTCATTGTGATAAGCTGGGCGACTCAGGCAAGGGTGCTAGGCAGAGTTGGAAGCGAAGTTGCTGGCAGGACGTGGAGAACCCGCTGTGTGCAAGCCACGACCCACTAAACACACAAATATGGGACATCGTCTGGCTCATGCGACCAGCAAGAAGCAACGGTTGGAAGAGCCACTTCAGAAGCAGTTTGATCTCATTGCGACTGCTCAAGACCAGATTGACGGCAGGCGGGTTACGGCTGTTGCCACTGAGCGTGAGATCGGAGTCCTCAACCGCGAGCTCGTACGCACGTTACCTGGAATTCCATGCATAGACCTCGAGCTGGACCCGAGTGTGCTGGCAGATTCTCCTGACCAGGCTCCTTTACAAGAGATGTTCCAGTCCGAGGCGTTCCAAAAGTTCCAGGCACTGCTGGCAGCTACCCAGCAGGCGAAGGTTGCGAAACCATCATCTGAGTCACCGGCACAGTCACCTTTCTCGAGCAGTGGCGCTGGGGTCTCTCCTACTGATCCTCTCCGTGGCGTTCCCGAAGAAGGTGGTTCTGAACATCTCCCAACACCAGGCTCTATCAGCGATATGGACCTCGACGATGGCATTGTTGAGGAGATCTTCCAGGCTGCCATCCGTGTCGACATGCGTACCTTCATTGAGCAGTTCGGTAGCAGGCTTGTCAAGAAGCCGCGCAGTGGGTAGTGCTCGGCTGCCTCTCTGCTGCGGACTGCACTTGTCTAAATTCGGAGTTCCTGCTCCACCTCCGCCTCCCCCCAGCCCCATCGCCCACTCGCCTCTGCCTCGTGGCCTGGGCGAATGTGTTGAGTGCGGCAACAGCTGGCCGACGCTGAGAGGCTCTGCTCGACGACGGCCCTCGTGCTCCTGGCGCAGGAGATAGGCACCCTGGAGGGCCGCGAGGGGGGGGGGGGGGCCGCCTCGGCGGCTGGGCCCGGGTGGAACATGTTTTGTTCCTCTCCCATCCCTGGGGGGCCGGGTAGACCTACAGCGGGGTCTGCGGTTACCGTTCGCACGCATGTTGGCCCACGTTGGCCGTCGGATGTTTCAGGGGTGATCGTTCCAGGACGTGCGATTCACGCGATTGTTTATCTCCCAGGCTGGCCCCCTCTCAGCGTCATATCCTGCTCTGAAATCAGGGACGGGGCTTTGTGCTCTCAACCTCGCCCTCCTCCGTAGGATTGGCGAGCGACTTGAAGGGAAACAGATGCGCGTTGCGGGTGGCGATTGGAACCTTGACCCCAGCCTGGTGGATGCGACTGGTTAAGCTCGGAGGGTTGACGGGCCCCTTTCCGTGCCCAGCGCGAAAATTTGCTTGTCCCCTGGGAGCCTCACCACGATTGGTTTAATGGTTGCCAGTGCCGCCTTTGCCCGCGCCTGCGATTAGGTTGAGGCGGGCACATCCTGGCCCCGCCGACCCCGCCGCCCTGTGTCAATCACCCTCCGTCCCGATGCTGCGCGGTGCTATCAGCTGACGTATCGGTCGCATCAGGAGCTCCCGACTGAACTCCCGTTTGGCCCCGTCCCCAGGCCTGTGGACTGGGCCCTTAGTCGCCCTATTGCCGAGTGCGCCGCGGCTGCTGGTTTTGTCTTCCCCAGTCGGCGAGGCTTGGGACATACTCGCTGTTGCGTGCAAGTTTTTCGCTAGCCAGCTCGAGCTCGAACTCGAGGTTTACATTGGGGTGGCGGTCAAACGCAAGGGGCGCAAAGGGGATCTGTTCCAACCTCGTTGGGCCCCGACTTTTACGAAACCTAAGGCTCTCGGTGCTCGTGATCAGAACTGCGGGTGGGTCTGGCTTGCTCAGCACTTGTCCGAAACGATTGGGGCCTCTGCGAGGTTCCGACAGGCGGGCCAGGATCCAGATGTTCTTGGCCAGGACAAGATACACCAGCTCAAGGAGGAAACCAGCCACCAGATCCAGCAGTTGCTCGCGCTGCGTACCCTGGCGAGGGGCAGGGTGCGCGCCTCGACGCCGCCCTCGGCCAGGCTGGACGCCCCGCGCGCTCCCTTCCACGGGCGCTGGCCTCGACGAGTGGATCGACGGGCGCCGGGAGTTCTTGTCGTCGCGGGGCGGCGACCTCACCGAGGCCCGCAAGGGGGGGGCGGGGGGGGCGAGGGCCACGCGACGGCCCGCGGAACTTATGCAGAAATGGATGGCCACGGTCGCGCAAGATCACCCGGGTGCGTTTTCCAATTCCCCCCGAGAGCTTTTGAAGGAAGAAGGCGAAAGTCTCGCCAAAGTCTGGCGCGCGTCGCATGTGCCGCCAGAAGCTTGCGCCCCTGATAGGTCTCATCTGCCGCGGCCGGCGGCGGCCGCCATGAGGGGTGCTACTCGGAGCTTCTCGCCCCTGACGTCGCAGTCGCTGGGCGGAATGTGCCCGAGACATTTTGCCGTTGTGTCGGACGAGGCTCTCGTTACTTTCAATGTGATAATATCCCGGCGATCGAATCCCTGGGCTTGTTTCCGAAACAGTTGTTCTCCTTTCTCCCCCTTCTTGAAAAACCAAGAGGGGGCTTCGCCCCGTCTCGTTGCGCGCGGGGCCATTCCGCGTCTGGGGGCGTTTCATTCAAGGGGCCTCATGGTGTTCGATTTTGACACCGACCACCCACGTAAGCGCTGGGCCCTCGGCCCAGGGCGCAGCGCTGAAGATGCCGCGCGGCATCGGGCCGCGCAGGCCGCAGTTGCCCATGATGAGAACAGGGGGACGGGGGGAGTGATTTGGGACGGTGCCAAATACTATGAGTCTTTCGATCTCGGCCCGTTAAAAGACAGGGCGCTGCGGCGCGGCGTTGATCCTGCCAT